GATTTGCCTGATTCTACTTCATGGTTCTCCTTTTTAATATGTATAAAATGATCAGATTTCGAGAGAAGTGGCAGAAGCTTTATGAACATCTGTGAACATTAGGCTGTCACAGGAGCTTTTTTAACTGGTAGAAACGCTGGATATAGGGGGTGTGGAAAGTAAATCAAAGAGGGGTGAATTTAAATGGGGAAGGAAAAAGGATACCTTGGCGGTTTTGTGTAAGTAGCTGCCAGGAGTGCTCCTGTTTGGCAAATTTAGATTTGTAGAAATGTACTGGCATGAGGGAGATGGGTCTCATCTGTCTCTGCCCGTTTAATTGCCAGCAGGTAACTTACTCCTCAGACTTGGCCTCAGCCTCAGGTGATGCTGCTGCAGCACATTGCAAGTGGGCAGGGGTTTTGCAAGTCACTGGAAGGTGGGGGTTTAGCTGTCTGATGTTTTAAGGGAGCTGATGTGTTGAGTTAATATGCTCTATCTGGGCTTATGGGATACTGCATAACAGAAATTAAAATGCATTTGAGATTGCCAGTAAAATAATAACAGTAGAATGTTAAATTCTCAGGTTTTTTTTGTTTTTCTCTGCAGGTGCTTATAGAAAATGCCAAAGCTAATGGGGATGCTAGAGCTCTGGAACTACATGAGAAATTGTCAGCAAGTGCCTAGTATGGACTATCTCAAGTGAAAAATCTCCATTCATGCAACTTACAGTCAATCTTACAGGAGTATATGGGGTTCGGGCTTTTTTATCTGTTTGTGTCTGTTGTTTGTTTTTTTTGTTGCAGCAGCTGCAACTTTGTTTTTCGTTTTACTTTTTCTTGAACAAAAGTATGTTATTTTCTTGTTGAGAATGGGTTTCACCATAGAAATACTTTTGGAAGGACACCTGAATTTTGCTATGGCTGTCTTCCTCACTGAAACTTCAGCTCCACTAGCAATGGAAGGCACTTGTCTGCCTTTGCCCCCTGGCCACACACAGAAGTACAATATTAACTGCACTGGTGGTGATGAAAGGCTTTCTTGGCATGGAGTCTTACTGGTTAGGCAGCAGCAAAATTCTCTTCCAGGTACTGCAAATTGTTTGGAGATTTAAAATCTCTATATTCCTCTGTGTCATGGTTTCAGCCAGCAGCTAAGCACCACGTCAGCCCTCACTCACTCCCCTGAGTTGGGATGGGGGAGAGAATTGGAAGAGTAAAAGTGAGAAAAAAACACTTGGCTTGAGACATAGACAGTTTAACAGGTGGAGCAGAAGCTGTGCACAAGCAAAGCAGAAGGAGGAACTTGTTCCCTGCTCCCCATGGCAGGTGGGGGTTCAGCCATCCCCAGGAAAGCTGGACTCTGTCAGCTCAACAGTGACTTGGGAAGACAAATGCCATCATTCCCAATGTCCCCCCCTTCCTCCTTCTTCCCCAGCTTTATATTCCCAGTGTGGAATGTCAGGGAATGTCCCTGTGCTCAGTCCCCTCCCGGCTCCTTGTGAGGAGTAGAAATGGCCTTGAGAGCTCAGCAACATCCAAACCCACCAGTGGAACCAACACCATAGGGTCCTGGCTGCGTCCCCTCCCAGCTCCTTGTGAGGAGCAGAAATGGCCTTGAGAGCTCAGCACCATCCAAACCCACCAGTGGAACCAACACCATTCCCATCCCAAATCCAGACACAGCGCTGCACCGGCTCCATCCCAGCCCAAAACAGAAACTCTGAGTTACTTTGTTTTGCAGTTGAGACCCAAATCCAACTTGGAACTTCATGTGTGCTGTCAGTTCATACTTTTTAAAATTCTTTATAGTTTTTTTTTTTTTCCAGCTAATCCTAACCATGGCAGCATGTCCTCTTGACTGCAGGCTTCAGTAAACATTCCCATCAAGAAAAGCTTGTCATCATCAGGGACAGGGCCATATCTATAAATGTGTATGACAGGCTCTATTTATGTCTCGGTAATTCTGCTGCTGACTGCTTAATTGGATGAATCATGACAGGGGTTCTTCAACGTGATGTTATTTTGCCTTTATGTACATGAAAATAATAATAAAATAATAATAAAGCAATGATTCTAATCTGTTAGTGTTACTGTTGGGGGGGTTTCAGGCTGTCGACAGGAGTCACAATAGCTGTCCCCGTCCTGGTTTTCAAAGTTTCTTAAAATTATTCTCTTTCTGCCAAAGTCTGATAGAGTCCCTTATTGCAGAGGAGAAAGGGCGCTTCCAGGGTCTGCAGTGCATTGAAAATATCCTTTATTTTGGAACCAGTTCTGTAGGATGCCAAGCTGGGATGTGTCATTTAAAGAGTAAAACTAATCTCCGGGGGCTGGGGTTCCTGCTCTGGAGGTGAGTAGAAACCTCTCTGAATGGCAAGAATCCCTTCTTGTCTCCCACACTTCCCTCCTCCCACCCATCTCCATGCAAAACACCTTCCTTAAAAAGAATTTTTTCGGGGGTAAATTTAGCTGGATTGTGGTTCCCTTCACAGCCTGCTGTCACGTCGCCTTGAGCCGCCGGTGGCTGCCGATGCTGGAGGGAGCGCAGCGGAAGCCGGGCTCGTGACTCCCCAGACGAGCCATGACTTTGGGTTTTTTTTTAGCTTGCTGCTATTAAAAGCCCCGGAAAAGTTCTCTCATCCGGCAGTTCGTATCCTTGCCTGTGGTCCTGGGATCTGTGGGATCTGTGCCTCCTCCTCTGGAGGTGGGAGAGGCACCGTCGCGCGGTAAGCACTGCCCACCCGGGTTGATGCCTTCACCAGAAACTCTTCTACGTGAGCATTACAGTGTTCGGCACCAAACCCTGGGTGTCTCTAACACTGGGGAGAACAGACTAATAACTAGAGAAACCCACTGCCTAACTGTCAGGTGTTAAATATTCAACATTGGGGAAAAAAAATTAAATTACGGTGTTTTTTCTCTTCAGAAGGACCCTGAATCCAGTGATGAACGCCTCAAACAAGAGCACTGCACAGCCCAAAAGCTGCGTTACATGCCCTGCAGGGAAAAAAAAAACAACAAAACAACATCCCACCACGTATCTCTACCACCTACTCGGTGAAAAGTGCTCAGGGAACACGAGTTTACATCTTGGCTTCTGCAAAACCCAACGGTATCAGGTAAAAAACCTTGCTCTCCTCATTTTTCATGGTGTGTAGCCTCCAGGGAATCAGGGCTCGGAGGAGGTCTGCTGTGAAAACCTGTGAGTTGGTGCAGGCTGAGATGGGGCTGTATTTCATGCTGCCTCAGAGCTCAGCCTCAGAACACAGGGTTGTTTGTGGATTTCACAGCGGCTGCGAAGGGGGAAAAACAAATATTCCCCAACTAATTTGTTTTATCATGTTGGTTTATGCCGAAGGCAGAATGGAGTGAGATCTAATCAATTTGGAGGTAGAACTTTTTGCCACTTCAGACGTGAAGGGTTTTATATGCTTCTTAAAGAGCCTCTTATACAAACATGAGACGGTGGCTTGCTTCTGAGAATATTATTTGTTTGGTTGAGTCATGCATAGTCATCTCATTCTCTGTATTTCCCAAGAATTGCTGGATTGGTTTTCTACTCCAGTTATGAGCTTCTCTTGGAATTAAGTGTCATGAAGTTACATTAGTTACATTAGCCTTGCCTGACCTCAGAGTTTAACAAACACACAGATACATACTTCTCTCTCCCCAGTACTTTTGTTTGATACCTTTTACATCTAAAAAAACCCCAAATTTTTAAATTCATAGCTATGAACCTCTTGAGGAATGTTTTGATGCTGCACAAGTGACAGTTAAATAATTTGTAAATTTGGCATTCTCAGGGGAGAGAGAGGTGGAGTTTGATCACAGTGTGGAGCGATAAATACTGAGGTAACTCCTTCATGAAGTCACTCGAACGATAGCAACGTTCCAAGTTTCATGTGTGATCCATTTTCATGTGTGATCTGAATTCATGATGATGCCCTCGAGCCCTTCTGCTGTAGTCGTACAAATCAGGGGCTGGGTAGAGCAGTATTTGGTTGTGCTGTGCTGCCAGGTGAAAGGATGGATGGATGGATGGATGGATGGATGGATGGATGGATGGATGGATGGATGGATGGAGAGATGGATGGAGAGGCAGACAGATGCACAGACAAATGTACAGATGGAGAGATGGACAGAGAGGCAGACAGATACATAGGTGGATGGATGGATGGATAGATGGGTGGATAGATGAATAGAGATATGGATGGAGAGACAGATGGAGTGATGGATGGATGGATGGATGGATAGATAGGTAGGCAGGAAATGTGCAGCGATGCTTCTGTCCTTTTCTCTTTCCCAAGGTTAGACTCTGAAGGTTGTCTTGGCTTTTTTCCTTTTTTCTTTGTTTTTTTAACACCGTGCGGTTTCAGAAACACATTCACCAGTGACCTTGTGTTTCACCTTCCTGCTGTTCCCTGGTGCACCGGTAGCCGCAGCATCCAGCCTGCCCGGCGGGGAGGCAGAGACACCTCTGCTGCTTCACCCCCAGCCAAGTACATGCACAAAAAATGGCAAAAGCACCTAGAACGAGCTCAAAAAAAAGGCAGTTTGGAAAGCTGCCCTCAACCCCAAATGTCTTGCTATGGCTGCACTATGGACTTCAAGTCTACAGTGAAGGCAGAGCCCCCCATGATGGAAAGAACATTCAGTGAGACAAAAATGCAGGCTTGGAGTAGTTCAGAAGCTACTTCAGGGATTTGGGTGTTGCTGGTTTCCTGCTGTAGGAATTGTAGGAAATGTGACAAACACAAATCCAACACAAAAACAGGGCTGGGAGCCTTTCCTGTGGAGTTTGGTTTTGAAGATCCTGGCCACACACAACATGCAGAAAGGTCGTCTGTGTCTGCGATGGCCATTCTTTGTCTTTTGCAAGACATGGCTGATTTCTGGGACTTCTTGCTCACTAGAGGAACTGTAAACATGCAAAGTGTCTGCCTGCCTGAGCAAGGTGATTAATTGCCCAAGCAGTGCTCCCTTCTGCAATGGCCATTCTTTGTCTTTTGCAAGACATGGCTGATTTCTGGGACTTCTTGCTCACTAGAGGAACTGTAAACATGCAAAGTGTCTGCCTGCCTGAGCAAGGTGATTAATTGCCCAAGCAGTGCTCCCTTCTGCTTTGCAGCTTTGGCTTCTCTGAGAAGCCACCTGGAATTCATGGCCTTGGGAAAACTGCTTTTCTGCAGAGCAAAAAGCACAAGAGATTTGAGATGCGAATTATTGGAGGAGGATGATTATCTGAGTCCTCTTGAATTTTCCGGAAACAAATGTACCGTAGAAATTCAGGTTTCTACCGAAATTGCTTTGTGACCACCTTTTTTGGCCTCTCTGCTGAAGAGCTCATAATAGCTTCTGTTGGGAAATTACACTGATACATCTCATTTGCCCTTCTCCCAGAGTTTTTAATCCATATTTTCAGACTGATTTTTTTGGTTTTGGTTTTTGTAGCAAAACAAAACCCAGAATGTGAGTTACATTTTTTAGCGTTCTACTCTGCAAACCACCACTAACTTTTATTCAAAAAGAGAAGACCACATTAGTAATGCATCTGCTAATAATAGACCTTTGTTTTGTCACCTGTACCCAATTTATTAGTTACTTCTAATGATCCGGTAACTTACTGTAATAGGTCCAATTCATGCACCAGTAGATACTCTGATACTCATTTCCATATGCTGTTACTGCAGACACCTTGTGTGCAGCTGGGGGAATTTACTGGACCTAATTTCAATATTTACACCAACCTAAAACTGATATAGCCGATGGCAGGACTGCTCTAACCACACTTAATATCCAACTGCTTGTTTTCTTGAAGTCCTTTAAATAATAGGAATATTTTTGTATTAAATCTGCTTGTAAAAGTTTAAGTCAAACCTTAAAGTTCAATTTTCTTTTCCAGTGGAGTATGCTGTTGTAAGATGGGTGTGAAAATGACTGTTGGTGTTACAGAGCTGTTATTTTTGTGGCTGCCCAATACCACGAGTATCAATAACATCCTTCAGGGACAGGGGAGAGCAAAGTCAGGTCTGTCCAAGGGCTGCTTCTTTCTTTAACCCGATGCTGCTCCTCACTGGAGAGGGCATCTGCAGAGAGGACAGGGCTTGCTCCTGCTGTTCAGTCTTCTGGGAGGTCGCTGTCATTGCCTCTTTTTCATGTCTTTCTGAATTTTCTTTTTTTCCAGTTTCAGCTTTGAGTTCTGTATTTCTTTGAGCAGCTCCAGTGACTCGTGAATGGATTGAAATCCTGGGAGAAGGATAGGAACAGTTAATTAAATAGTGGTTGCTTTCAGTACATTAAAGGATTCTTTTTTTTTTTTGCCAAGGTTTCTGACCCACGTTTAATACCGAGCATGTTAAATCCACTCTATTTCATCATTTTATGTTGAAAAATGATGCAAAAAGACATAGAATACCATAGATGAGAAGTGAAGTACCATAGACATGTGTTAGCAGCTTGGGTTTCCAGCTCCTCACTATGGGAATCACATCTTCCAACAGACTGGACAATGCCAAGCGTGATCATGCATGGCCCTAGACCGCAACTGACATCAGAGTTGTGGTGTGGAGCAAATAAAATACCATCTGTCCTTAAAAGCAGGGGAGTTTTTACCCTTAAGGCCTGTTGTTCTTTCACTGACCATTGGCGGGGTTTTGTTTAGTTTGTTTTATTTTAAGTCCACAGTCACTATTTTGAACCAAATGCTCCATATTCCCCTCGGATACCGACACTGTGGCTCTTCCCACCAGGCAGTGGGGTTGGTGCCACCAATCTCCCAGGGTTGTGGCAACCCTAAATACGAGTCACCTGCCATCTGAGATGGACGTTGTCTGGTTGTGTGCCAAAAAAAAGAAAGATGGGAGCGTGCAGACACATTTTTTTCTTAAAAACAAAGAGCAACGGAGCAGCTGATGCACCATCATTGAACCGCTGTACAGTGAAATATTGTCAATAAACACTGGAAAAGTGGAATTGTGACCTGCTGTTTCCAGGTTGCAGCAACTTTCAACGTAGAAATTCTTCACGTTTGTCCAGCGTGTCACATAGGTGATAACTTATTAGCAAGCAAGCAGTGGATTGAAATTAATTCTATTCTTTTTTTCTTTTTTTTTTTTTTTTTTAATCCTAAAAGCGCTTATTGTAACGTGGCAGCTGATTGCATGGTTTTTGGAGTGGTTGCTTAATATGGATTAATTCTGCCACCGCTACACTCTACCTAGTGCTCAGCCCAGTCGCTGCACGGTGCGTGGAATTTTATGAATTCCAGACACATCCCCAATTTCCAAGACTCCAATCTGTGCTGAGCACCAGCAGCTGCCGAGACAGTCTGGAGGCAGCCTCTGCTCCCTCCCCACCTCTTCTGTGGCCTCCTTTCCCCCTTTTTTGGGGGGGATCAACCCTTTCCAGAGGACTGCCAGGGGAAAGAGCAGTTGTTGGGCTTGAGTTTGAGCCCAAGCATGGCCAAAATCGGTTGCAGACACGTCTCTTCCATCGTTAATCTCTGCAGGCAGGGATGTGAAGTGAGGAACTCTTCTCTTTCCAGCAGCAGAATTTTTTTTATTCTGAAATTTCTTGGAGATGGTGCCTCGTGCTGGCCCGGGTGGTCCTGCAGGCAGCCGAGCTGCAGGAAGCCCCTCTCCCATCTGGGGCTGGGCTGGCTGTAGGTGGGTTTGCAGAAAACACAGGAATCGGAGCTGAATTAAGCGCCGGGGTCCTCCATCGCAGACAGCTTGGGAGGGGAGAACCAGACACTTGAGTCTCGAGTGAGAACGTGTGAGATGAGAAGCCCTTGTGTAATGACTTTCAGCCATCTGTTCCCTCGGAGAGGGGGCTGAGTGATGGTTTGGTGGTTTTTGGTGGGTTTTTTTTGGATAACCTGATGCATCTGCTGCGTGTCCCCATCGGCTGCGAGGGGAGGGTGAGGGGATGCCTCCTCCTCCAGCTGCTGGCAGCTAGGAACGGGGAGGAAAGGATGAAAACTATATAAATTCATCAAACACCATCTGAGACACAGGGTCTGTGCAGAAGGGGGTGACTTGTGCCTCCCAAGGAAGGTCAGTGACCCTACGAATGAGGAATAGGGGCACTAAAACACCTCAAAAACAGGTTGTGAAACTGCCTTTTAAATGCTCTTTCCTTGAGAGTCTCAGGAAGAGGAAGCAACCTCTCTGCAAATGTCATGCCAGCTGTGTGCATGGACAAGCAGGCCAACCCATACACCTCTGTAAGTGGGGTTTTGGGGAGAGAAACTGTCTTTTTAATGTCTTTCTGTCTTCACTGGAAAGCGTTTTCTGGAGCAGCGAGTTACTGTAGAAACATATTTTAAAAATAAATTGCACGAAAGCCCACCCTCACCTGATCTGTATTCGTTTTGGATTTCCTCAAGCTCCTTCCAGACCTGTCTTTCAAATCTGGTGATTCTTGCCTGCAGTTTTTTTTCGTCACTTTTCATCTGGTTCAACTGCTTTTCGTATTTCTGCGGCTTCTCCATTCGCTCTAGCTTCAGTGACAGGAGGAGGAGATTTTCTTCTACTCTTTTTTCTGCTCTTTCCTTCAAATGCACAGCAGGGTTTTATGGTTAGACACTTTGCATGTACCTCCTGCCAGCCGTGCCTCCTCCCAGTCCCGCTCCCCGATCCCCCGCGTGACAGCGGTGAATAAACTCAGGTGAGGTCTGGTACCCCAGGGGACACATCAGTCCTCTCTTCCAACCAACCGACCAAATTAATCAACCAGGAAAGAGGGGCTGGGCCAGGAAACCAACCGACCAAATAAATCAACCAGGAAAGAGGGGCTGGGCCAGGACAAAGGCGCTTTCTAAATTATTATTTTATTTACTCATTTGTTTTAAATCTAGTGACTTGCTGTCACGCTCTGCAACAACAGACTGGGAGATCAGAAAGCCCGTTTCGGGTTGTTTTCATGTGCCCAGCTCGAGCCCAAGCTTTGCCAGTGTGAATTAGGAGGCTGAGGCCATACGAGTTGTCTAACTAAGGGGTGGCAACCGGTCCTCTGCTTCTTTAGAGCCCACCACAGCTCTTTGAGCCCCACTCTGGGGGGAATTGCCTCCGACCTGAGCTGCCCACCTCTTCAGGTTGCACACAGAGTCCTCTAGTCAACTCCAAATCTGGTCAACATGATCAAAGTCCTGGGACCTTTAGGCTTTGCAGCCCAAAGGAGTCTGATGGTCCCAAGGCAATGGCTCTGCCTCCCAAGCAAGGTCTCTGCCAACCTGGCAGAGCCATCTGGACTCAAAGATTAGGAAACTGGTGGAACACGCTCCCAGTTTGCAAACATTGATGGGCTGCGCAGGTGGCTGGTGGAGTGAGTCAGCCCCGGGAACAACCAAGCTGCTGCTCTGCACTCCCAAAACAGTTCCATCATCACGGGAGGAGGGGGAAGGGTCTGACCCTGAAAGAGGGGAGATGGAGCTGAGCTGTGGGGAAGAACTTGTTTGGTGTGAGGGTGGTGAGAGCCTGGCCCAGGTTGGCCCGAGAAGCTGTGGCTGCCCCATCCCTGGAGGGGTTGAAGGGCAGGTTGGAGGGGGCTTGGAGCAGCCTGGTGTGGTGGGAGGTGTCCCTGCCCAGGGCAGGGGTGGCACTGGGGGGGCTTTAAGGCCGCATCCCACCCAAACCATTCTGTGATTCTACAAGAGTGGCTTTGAAAGCTTTAACCCACAGTGTGTCCCTTAGGGGAGAGCAGTCACATATCTTGGTGTGGTTTCTGCATTGTCAACCCATCTTTTGAACAATTCTGAGGATGACATCTCAACCACTTCCCTGGGCAGCCCATTCCAATGAGCAATAACCCTTTCTGTGCAAACATTTTTCCTAAAAATATATCAAGGATCAAGGGATTGAGGTGGTGGGAGACATACTCCTTGCTCCCACCCCCAGCAGGGCTGGTGGCCACCCCAGTGCCCTGGGTGGCCATGCTGGGAAGCCTTACCAGCCTCTCCTTCACCCAGTTGAGGAGCTGGTGCCGGTGCTGGGCTTGATCTGCTTCCCACCGTGTCAGCTGCGTCTCTGTCCACGTCCGATGGGTCTGTACCTGATCCCTGAAGTCACTTAGAGTGCTTGTCAACCTAAAATTATAATTGTTTTTTTTTTAGCAACAAGACTAAGGTTTAGTCAGTGTTATGGGGGAGTCTTGAGTCACTTTGAGTAAATTGTTTAAATTACTCTAAGTCTCTTCAATAGCTTCCTAACAAGCCCTCAGCTCAATTATTTTATTAATCCTTACCTTGCAGGTTGTACCTACACGCCAAAATGTGATTTCCGTGGTGTGCTCTACTCGAGGAAAATATCTGAGGGCTGAAAAATGTTAATTTCCCGTTTGAATTAACTCTCTTCAAAGTGGATGAAGAAACCACACCACCCCCCTGAACACCAGCCACGCTGCTGGGCATCGGGGAGAGCAGCAAAGTCACGTGTGCTCTGAAAATGAGGCTTGTAATGATACAAAAAAAGGTTAATGACTTAGAGATGACAAACAAGCAGAGAATGCCCAGTTGCGTTTGAGGCAGAATTCGGGTGGGAATGTGAAAGCCCATGGGAAGGGCCCAGCTTGTAATGATACAAAAAAGGGTTTATGACTCAGAGATGACAAACAAGCAGAGAATGCCCAGTTGCGTTTGAGGCAGAATTCGGGTGGGAATGTGAAAGCCCATGGGAAGGGCCCTGAGAGGCAGCACCCGGCAGAGACAGGGAACCACAAGTGGAGAAGGAACTCTGCTTGGGTCAAATCTGCAAAATGCCAAATTTTGGGTTAGATTTTGCTTTTCTTATGGTGCGATGTGTAATTTACAACGGGAACCATGACTAGATGTGAGCTTAGGTGCAGGTCGTAGACATATATATAAATTTTTATGCTTATGCATATGACCTGCCTGCAGGAGTGTCATGGAAACACTGGTGAAGTGTTTTTGTGAAGCTGGTGAGGGGTCTGGAGCACAAGTCTTGTGAGGAGAGGCTGAGGGAGCTGGGGGTGTTCAGCCTGGAGAAAAGGAGGCTGAGGGGAGACCTTCTGGCTTTCTACAGCTCCCTGAAAGGAGGGTGTAGCTGGGGGGGGTTGGTCTCTTCTCCCAAGGAACAGGTGATGGGACAAGAGGAAATGGCCTCAAGTTGCTCCAGGGGAGGTTCAGATTGGAGATTAGGAGCAATTTTTACCCTGAAAGAGTTCTTAAGCCTGCCCAGGGCTGTGGTGGAGGCACCATCCCTGGAGGTGTTCAGAAGCCAGGTTGACATAGTGCTTAGTGACATGGTTTAGTGATGGGTTTTATCAGTGTTGGGTTATGGTTGGACTAGATGATCTTAAAGGTCCCTTCCAACCTCAACAATTCTATGATTCTATGAAAAGTGTTAATATAATTGCATTAATTTCTAACACATGCTTCGTATGCCAACAACGATGGCTTTAAATTTGTTCAGGCCTCAGTCTGGATACAAACCAACAGGTAAAGAGCAGGATTTTAAAACTAGACTGAATGCTTACGGCACTTCTGGTACTGGATATCACTTTCCTAAAGGGTGTTGGAGTGAAAGTGTTTTTTTTTACCGGGTGATTGATAGCAGCTTTGCATCAGTCTAATGAAGTGATAATTACCATCAGCAGTCACTGTAAATGTAGTAAAAAAAATAAAAATTAACATTAACAAAATCTCTCTAAGTGATACTGGGTAAAAAAAAAAAATAAACATTAACAAAATCTCTCTAAGTGATACTGCAGTTTGCTATAAACAGTGCCTTTTCAGTGTCTTCTACACAAGGAGTCAGTTGAGTCAGTTTATCGCTATTACTCGTTTTAACTAGTTCTAAGGTTCAATTTTTTAAGAATAAAACCTTGAAGTATTGTTGTTTTTAGTCCTGCCGTGCACACAGAATTTGCTTCCTGGAGCACTCATCTCCATCCATGAGAAGATAAATTGGCATTGTGATGTTGTGCTGGTGACGCCCACCAGCGTCCACCCTTAAGCACGGGAAGAGGAAGCTTGAGGAGCTCTTCTCAGACCATCTGAGTGAAACAACAGAAATCACCAGACCCTGTTCTGGCAAGGTCAGGAGGGGATGGAGACAGTGCTCGGTGGAAGCTGCCACTGCCAGCCCCAAGGTCATCGCTCATGAGGGCAGGATGGTCACATCTGAGGGTCAGTGAATGGGCTGAACAAGAGCTACAGCTCTGCTCGACCACCACAGCACTGGTGCCTCTTCTGCCAGATCTTTCATGCCATTATTTTCATATGTACAGTTATATATATATGTATATATAAAATCTGGAACTTTTAGTCCATCAGGCATGAAACGAAGGTCTCATGCTGTTGCTTAGGATTACCAAACAAATTTGGGCAATATCATTTCAATGGGCAAAGATGAACTAACCGTGAAGGACACAGCTGATGGTCAGCTCCGTTCAAAGGCTCAGACCCAAACTTTGTGTAGTTGGCAGCTGGCGTTTGGCTTGGCATTCCCTTCTTCCCCCATGGAGAAAGTGGGGAAGAAGGAAATATTTAGACTTAAGAAATGTTTAAAACTAAAACCAAATTATGCGAGACTGCATTTAGACAACTTAGAGAAGTTTTGGCGATGAAGCAAAGTCTGCCTGGGGGAGAAAGGGGAGAACTACAGGAATAATTAATGCAACATTTTATAAAGCCATTTAACAAACACTGGAAATTATTTCCACGAACCACACCAGCAGGTACAGCTTCACCAGTGAGCTCTGTGGCTTGTAGGGTTCAGACCAGACGGTCACAAGGGTCCCTTTGGGATGCAAATCCCATCAACCACAGCTGGCGTGTGGCTCTGCTGAGGAGGATGATGGTGGCTGGGGCCTGTCTCTGGAGGGACATACTTGACGGTGGCAAGATGGTGATTAATAATACAATTGTTATTAATAATATGAATAATTTATTTTGGAATATTAAGGTTTTCTTATTAATAATAAAAGAATAGCATGTTTTATTTTATTTTCAACTTTCTTTGATTAGCATCAGAGAGAGGAGAGCAGCCCTGAGAAGGACTTGGGGATGTTGGTGGATGAGAAGCTCAACATGAGCCAAGAACATGTGCTGGCAGCCCAGGAACCCCCCCAAACCCTGGGCTGCATCCCCAGCAGTACAGCCAGCAGGGCAAGGGGGAGATTCTGTCCCTCTGCTTTTCTCTGGGGAGACCCCCCCAGTGCTACCTCCAGCTCTGGGGCCACCAACAGCATGAAGGACATGGAGCTGTTGGAGCAGGGTCAGAGGAGGCCACAGAGATGCTGGGAGAGAGAAGCATCCACAACTCTCACCATGAAGGGCCAAATTTTCTGATCAAGGCACAACTCCCATGAAATCCTGAATAATGTTTAAAATTCATCCAGTTTTCAGTAACAACATCAGTTTGTACTTTAACGATACAACTGCCACAGGCGGCCGGGTCCCAGACAACTGCCCGTCAAGGGAGGAGGGAACTCTGGGCTGTAAACCTGATTTAAACATCCCCAGTTTTACAGGGAAGCTCCACTCTGTTCCAGGAGTTAAATTTTATTTCAGCTCTATAAAAAGAATGCATAAATCTGGTAGACTGTTAAAGGAGCAATATAAAAGGAGACAGGCATTCTCCAAAGGGCAACCTATTTTAATTAATTTTTATATTAACTGGCATAAAACCTCAATGTTTAGTAAAGAAGTATTTTGGGCTTTATGTTAAATCACAGCATCACAGAATCACAGAGTGATATGGGGTTGGAAGAGACCTCTGGAGATCATCTCCTCCAACCCCCAGCCAGAGCAGGTCCACCCAGAGCAGGTCCCACAGGAACGTGTCCAGGTGGGGTTTGAATGTCTCCAGAGAAGGAGACTCCACCACCTCCCTGGGCAGCCTCTGCCAGGGCTCTGCCACCCTCACAGCAAAGAAGTTCCTCCTCGTGTTGAGGTGGAACTTCCTTTCAAGAAAGTGTGCTACTGGACCTGCTGATAGTTAACTCGGAAGGTCTTGTGGGGGATGTAAACGTTGGAGGCCGTCTTGGACAAAGTGATCATGAAATGATAAAATTTTCAATTCTCGCTGAAGCAAGGCGGGGGGCCAGCAGGACTGCCACCCTGGACTTCCGAAGGGCAGACTTTGGCCTCTTCAGGAGCATGATTGGGGGTGTCCCTTGGGAGATGGTCCTCGAGGGCAAGGGTGCCCAGGAAAGCTGGTCATTCTTCAAGGAGGCACTCTTAAAGGCGCAAGATAAAGCTATTCCCAAGTCCCTAAAATCAAGCAGGAAGGGAAGAAGACCAGCCTGGCTAAATAGAGAGCTTCGGCTGGAACTCAGGAACAAAAAGAAGGCTTATAATCTTTGGAAAAAGGGCCTGGCAGATAAGGAGAAATACCATGAAGCGGTGAGGATATGCAGGGGGAAAATTAGAAGGGCCAAGGCTCAAGTGGAGCTCAGCTTGGCCACCAATATTAACAATAACAAAAAGGGGTTTTTTCAGTATGTTAACAGCAAGAGAAAGGTGAGGGATAATGTGGGCCCACTGATGGATGAGGTGGGCACCCTAGTAGTGGAAGACACGGAGAAAGCAGAGTTGCTGAATGCCTTCTTTTCTTCAGTCTTCACTGTTAGGACTGCCCCTCATGAATCTGTGGCCTTAGAGGCAAGGGGGATGGTATGGAGAGAGGAAATTTTTCCTCTAGTAGAGGAGGGCCAGGTTCGGGACCACTTGGCCAAACTGGACATTCATAAGTCCATGGGGCCTGATGGGTTGCACCCACGAGTGCTGAGGGAGCTGGCAGACGTTATCGCTGGACCACTCTCGATCATCTTTGAGAAGTCGTGGAGAACAGGAGAGGTGCCTGAGGACTGGAGGAAGGCCAACATCACTCCAGTCTTCAAAAAGGGCAAGAAGGAGGACCCTGGGAACTACAGACCAGTTAGTCTCACCTCTGTCCCTGGGAAGGTGATGGAGAGACTCATACTAGATGTCATCTCCAAACAAGTTGAAGAGTGGGGGGTTATTGGAAGTGGGCAACACGGGTTTACCAAGGGTAAATCATGTATGACCAATCTGATAGCCTTCTATGATGCCATAACCGGTTGGTTGGATGAGGGGAGGGCAGCAGATGTCATCTACCTTGACTTCAGCAAGGCTTTTGACACTGTCTCCCATAACATCCTCATTGGGAAACTGAGGCAGTATGGGCTGGATGAGGGGACAGTGAGGTGGATTGAGAACTGGCTGTGTGACAGGACCCAAAGGGTAATTATTAATGGAGCAGGTTCAAGTTGGAAGCCTGTAACCAGTGGAGTCCCCCAGGGGTCAATACTTGGACCCGTGCTGTTTAATATATTCATCAGTGACCTGGACGAGGGGACAGAGTGTATCCTCAGCAAGTTTGCTGATGATACCAAACTGGGAGGAGTGGCTGACACCCCGGAGGGCTGTGCTGCCATCCAGCGAGACTTGGACAGGCTGGAGGGCTGGGCAAAGAAGAACCTCATGAGGTTCAACAGGGAAAAGTGTAGGGTCCTGCACCTGGGGAAGAAAAATGTCAGGTACCAGTATAGGTTAGGGGTGGACCTGCTAGAGGCAACTACTGAAGAGAAAGATCTAGGGGTCCTGGTGGACAGTAAAATGGCAATGAGTAAACAGTGTGCTCTTGCGGCCAGGAAGGCCAATGGTATCTTGGGTTGTATAGGGAAGAGTGTAGCCAGCAGGTCAAGGGAAGTCATTCTCCCCCTCTACTCTGCACTGGTGAGGCCACAACTGGAGTACTGTGTCCAGTTCTGGGCTCCCCAGTTCAAGAGGGACAGGGAACTACTAGAAAGAGTCCAGCGTAGGGCTACAAAGATGATTCAAGGATTGGAGCATCTCCCTTATGAGGAGAGACTGAGAGAGCTGGGACTCTTTAGTCTGGAGAAGAGAAGGCTGAGGGGAGACCTTATCAATACCTACAAGTATCTCAAGGGAGGGTTGAAGGAGGAGGGAGCCAGACTCTTTTCAGTGGTTCCCACTGAGAGGACGAGGGGCAACGGGCACAAGTTGGAACATAAGAGGTTCCACTCAAATATGAGGAGAAACTTCTTCACAGTGAGGGTGACAGAGCCCTGGAACAGGCTGCCCAGGGAGGTTGTGGAGTCCCCTTCTTTGGAGATTTTCAAGACCCGCCTGGATGCTCCTGAGTAACATGCTCTAGCTCTGGGCAATCCTGCTTCAGCAGGGGAGTTGGACTAGATGATCTCTATGGTCCCTTCCAACTCTAGAAATTCAGTGAAATTCAGTGAAATTCAGTGAAATACACAATGACAGCACAGCTCAGTGACTCAAAAGCCACCTCTTTTCAAGCCTCCACCTTCTGATGAAAACTTAAGTAATGTCTCTTTAACTTTTCTAACAACCCATTTACCCCCAAAGCATTTACTTCGATTCAGTTTTCCAATTTCTTTATTTTTTTGGCATTGCTGCATTTTTCCTTCCTTCTTATTTTGTTTCCATTTCACAGAATTACAGAATCACAGAATCTTAGTGGTTGGAAGGGACCTCTGAGATCCTCGAGTCCAACCACATCAAAAAACAAAACAAACAAACAAACAAACACAAAAAACACAAAAGAAACCCCACCACAAAAACAACAAACCCAAAACCACCACCCACCAACTAAACCCCACACCCACAACCCCACACACAACACCCCACCACAAACCAATAACCTTGGGCACTAGAGCATGCCCTGAAGAGCCACGTCTACACGTTTCTTAAATACCTCCAGGGATGGTGACTCCACCACCTCCCTGGGCAGGCCGTTCCAGGGCCTGACCACCCTCTCAGGAAAGTCATTCTTCCCAATATCTCATCTAAACCTCCCCTGCCCCAACTTCAGACCATTTCCTCTGCTCCTGCCATGATTCCCTTGGGAGAAGAGGCCAACCCCCACCTCTCTACACCCTCCTGTCAGGGAGCTGTAGAGGGCAGTGAGGTCTCCCCTCCTCTTCTCCAAACTAAACATTTCTTGTCCCATTCACCTCCAATGCTCACTGCTCTCTGTCTCCCTGTCCCTCCTTCCCTTTTCCCAGTTTTAATTCACTGCCCACTTTGGAATGGGGAATTGACTTTCCCCATTCACCCCTATTCCTTTTCCGGTTCTCTTCACAAGAACTTTCTTCCGTTTAAAGTTCTAGCCTATTTTTACCTCTGAATGCAACTCAGATAAAATCTTAATTAAAATAAATTTTTATTCAAATACTTTGCCGTTTTAAGGATGCCTTTGAAATACCATTATTGCCGGATTATTATAATTAGATTTTAAATTATTTGTGTTGGCTCCACTCTTCAGCGCCGGGATGGTTTGCTTTGTTCTGGATGTGGCTCCAGGCGCTTTTGTTCGTCTCTAAAATTCGGGATTAAAAGGGCACCCTAAAAGTACTCCTCCAGCTGGAAGGCGAAAAACACGCTGCGTGAGCCATAAATAAATAAATCACGGGTCGTTGGGATGTGCCGCTGCCTCATCCTTGTGCCCACCTCCCTTCCCCGCAGCACCCCGGCGATGGTGCAAAGGGGTATCGAAAACACCATTTTCTGCACATTAGGCAAGTCACAAATCAGCCCCAATTATAATGGTAAATCGCGCCTTTGTGCTCGGTGCCTTTCTCTTAAGCATGGGAAGTTAATTGGCTTCCTACCTTTCCTCTTACAGGGTGGCATTTATCGCCTCGTTTTAACAATTAGCCTGCAAGACAATAGACTTTCATTATGTATTTTCATTATTTTATGGCACAGATCTTCATTAACCTTCTCTTAGTGTTTTGAATGGATGTTAATTAACGGGCTTGTTTTCCTGTTCCATGGCAACCTGTTCATCACACTAAAGCGCTCAGGGTGAATTATCATAATGAAAAACCCTCTGTCACCTACTTCAAATCCAGGAGTTGCAATTGATGTTGTTGATCTCCCTGGACTGTCTTTAAACTCGAGCTTTGATCGGAGCTGGAAGTCTCTATCTTGCCTAATAGCTGCATTACCTAATGAGGATTCAAGAGAGAACGCCTTTATGAGCCAGACCGTGAGCACTCACATTTAAATATGCATTATGATTGCAAGCACGGAAAAACACAGCTGACATCAAGGCACAGCCACACAAAAATGAACTTTTCTCACCAATAATTTCATTCAGAAGGGTGAAGACTTGAGCTCAGAGATACCAGAGCTGAAGACAAAGTCTCTGTGGATGGAGGGTTTGGTTTCACACCCACCAGTGAGCAACACTTTGGTTATTTGACCAAGGCTCAGGACACCTCTCAAATCCCCCCAAAGGTGGCAGGAACCGAGAGGTAAATCCTTGAGCCCCGTGCTCTCCAGGCTGGGGGGTGACCCAGGTGCCTGCTGCTCTCCCACACTTCTTCAGTTGGAGATGCCCCTTTCACAGCATCGTTCACTCTTGGGGTGAGGGGACAAGAGGCCCCTTCGCCAACTTGACCTGTGGCCCTCTGCTGAGATGCAGAGATCAAGGTGGAACTCATGAGGTGAAGTGAAGCACCTCGTGTCCTGTGGGGACACCCATCGCCTTTTGGTGGTGGTGGCCTGAGGACACCTGAGGTGGCCTGAGCCCTCCAGAGAGCTGGAGCCCCTCTGCTGGGAGGGGGGCTGAGAGAGTTGGGGGGTTCAGCCTGGAGAAGAGAAGGCTCCAGGGAGACCTCGGAGCCCCTTCCAGTCCCTCAAGGGGCTCCAGGAGAGATGGGGAGGGACTCTGGATGAAGGAGGGGAGCCCTAGGAGGAGGGGGAAGGTTTTGACCCTGAAGGAGGGGAGATGGAGCTGAGCTGTGGGGAAGAACTTGTTTGGTGTGAGGGTGGTGAGAGCCTGGCCCAGGTTGCCCTGAGAAGCTGTGGCTGCCCCATCCCTGGAGGGGTTCAAGGGCAGGTTGGAGGGGGCTTGGAGCAGCCTGGTGTGGTGGGAGGTGTTCCTGCCCAGGGCAGGGGGGACACTAGATGATCTTTAAAGGTCCCTCCCAATCCAAAGTATTCTATGATTCCACAACATCACGGAAAACATTTTTTTTAATTAAAAATCTTGATAAATTGTATGAATACCATATCAATCTTTGGTATTGGTCAGCAGTTAGGAAAAGGAGCAATAACTACATATGCACAGTCACAACTCACCAGGTACTCCACTGTAGGCTTCTCTACTCACCTTCATCTCAAAATCGCCAGCACAATTTTTGAGAGCAGAGTGAAGGCCATAAATCTCTTTGTCGGTCTTCTGGGCCTCACGCCGGATGACGCTGATGTCCCCTGACAGCTTTGCGATGCTCGCCTCGCATCTGCAGCCAAAGCACAGACAGAGAGCATCTGCAGGGAGGTGGCTGGAGGGTGGCTGAAGGCAGATTCTGGTCTCCCTGTGCTGTGGGTTGATCAAATCCAGCCCCCTGGGACCACCCCAGAGCGTAAAAAATAGGGAGAGACACCCCATTGCAACAACCATGACCCCCCATCCTGCCTTCAGACATGACTGCCCATTAAGAGAGCTGCAGAAGGTGACGGCTGATGGTTGGACTAGATCTGAAAGGTCCCTTCCAACTGAAGCAATTCTGTGACTCTATAAATGTCCTCAGTGCAGCAGTGATGCCCATGTGCTCCTCGTACCATGAACCTCCTGGTGGTGCCCACCCGCAGGTCGCCCTGCCAGACCGAGTGCCCCCTGACTTCCTGCCATCCAATCTCAGTAAATTAAATTAATTCTGAAGTGTAAACTGAGAGGCTACTCTGCACCCCGAGCACCCCCAGCTTTTGGATGCCCACCAGGACGTATGTCATGCTGCTGCCACAACCACCCCAGCCTCTGCCAGATGGGTGCAGGGGTTGGGGCAGATCACTTTTAGAGGTAAAAAACTTGACGTTTTGTAAGGAGCATTTGTCATTTGCTATTAAATTCTTTTGGCTGCCTTCACCAAGTTATCCCATCGCATTTAAAACTGACGGATGAATGGTGTGAGAGTGGTGGCATTAATTGAGTGGTGGCATTAATTGTCCCAAGGATTGAACAACGTTCAACCAGCCGCCCCTTCCAGGTGGAATGAAAGAGGGTTTGAGCCCTTGTCTTTAATGTCCATAGATATAAATACACGCACATTGTGTATATATAGTATATATGTAAATATTCATACAAAAAATATATTTTTATCATAAGAAAGAAGACTTTCTGTAGTCTGTATGAAGTTACAACATTATAGATATACTTAACATGAGCAAGGCGCACATTGTGTATATATAGTATATATGTAAATATTCATACAAAAAATATATTTTTATCATAAGAAAGAAGACTTTCTGTAGTCTGTATGAAGTTACAACATTATAGATATACTTAACATGAGCAAGGAGACAGACTTCCTCTCCTGCACCCTTCCTGAACGCTGGCCACCCAGGGGTTACCTCCTGCCCCAGTGCAGGTAGTACTTAAAATGAAGAGAATGGAAAAAAAACCACCTTAAGGCCACAAAGCAGTGTGCAATTTAATATAAATAATGGAACAGAAGTTGAGAGAAGAAAACAGCTAGGTTTTAAAATGCCAGAGGAATCATCCTCCAAAGCACCACCAGCAAATAAAACCGGTGCTGTTGACAGGTAAAGGATCTGAAGAGAAATTTTGACAGTTTAAATAGACCAGCTTTTTGTCATCTCCTGAGGATGCTCAGATATTGCGATACACCTACAGAGCGTGTAGCTCAAGGAAATAAAAGTTGCTGCAGATAATAGAGGCTTTGTACAAAGGCCAGAACTTCGATCAAAAGAAACCATTGATTTGGAAAACAAGTACAAAATAGCTGCGAAGGCGCACACGGATCTGGAGAGGGAGGGGGCTGGTCCAGGGCTGGCTGCCGTCACGGCTTCTCCAGCTGCAGACCCAGAAAACGAGCAGGGGGGTGGCAAGGGGAGGGCACAGGGGGACCATGGTCCCCAAAGAGGAAGGTCCCAGGGGACAGCTGGCACCATGGGCAATGGGGGCTCCTCATGGGTCCAGGTCTGGGGGGAAATGTTGAGGTGCAAAAGCCCAAACGAGACGAGGCTGCAGTCGAGACATGGGGTTGATGATGAACAACTGGCCCCACATGTGGGGCAGCTCTTTCAGCAGAGATGAGGGGATCAGGGCTGACTGCTCCCTGGGGAAAATCCCACCCCAAGGCAACATTTGCAAGGCTTTGCAAGAAGTGCACAGTGTGAGAAAGAATAGGATTAATGGATCTGCAGCAGTAAGATGACATAATGGAAGGGGCTTTGATCTAGTGGGAGTTCTCCCCTTCCATGGCAGAAGTGTTGGAACTAGACAGTTTCTGGGGTCCCTTCCAACCCAAACCATTCTGTGATTCTATCATCATCTGTGTTGGAAGGGATCTTTCAGATCATCAAATCCAAACATCACCCCAACACTGACAAAACCCACCACCGAGCCATGTCCCTCAGCACCACGTCTGCCCAGCTTTGAAATACCTCCAGGGATGGTGACTCCACCACTGCCCTGGGCAGCCTCTTCAAACATTTGGCAATCCTTTCAGCAAAGAAATTTTTCCCAATATCCAATCTGAACCTCCCCTGGAGCAACTTGTGGCCATTTCCTCTTGTCCCATGGCCTGTTCCTTGGGAGCAGAGACTGACCCCCCCTTGCTACCCCCTCCTTTCATGGAGTTGGAGAGAGTTATAAGGTCTCCCCTCAGCCTCCTCTTCTCCAGGCTGAACACCCTCAGCTCCCTCAGCCTCTCCTCACAAGACTTGTGCTCCAGATACCTTGCCAGCTCTGTTGCCCTTCTCTGGACACACTCCAGCCCCTCCATGTCCCTCCTGTTGTGAAGTGCCCAAAAGTGGACACAGCACTCAAGGTGGGGCCTCATGAGTGTCCAGTAGAAGGGGACAGTCACTGCCCCAGCCCTGCTGGCCACACTGTTCCTGATACAGGCCCAGATGCCGTTGGCCTCCTTGGCCACCTGGGCACACTGCTGGCTCATGTTCAGCCGCTTTTGACCAACACCCCCAGGTCCTTTTCCTTGGGGCAGCTCCAGCCACTCTGCCCCCAGCCTGGAGCATCCATGGGGTTGGAGCAGGACCTGCCACTTGGCCTTGGTGACCCTCACACCACTGGCCTGGGCACATCCATTCAGCCTGGCCAGATACCTCTGCAGTGCCTTCCTGCCCTCAGGCAGATCAACACTGATTCAGTTACACGAGATATCAACCTGAACATTTTATACAGAGAATACTTAAAAATAGGGAATTTGATGGTAGGATCCAAAAAGCTGACGAATTAGGCTTTTAGCATGGGATCAATGCAACTACACCAGCTTTACTGTGTGGCCAGAGGACCTGCACATGTGGCGAGCTTTGCAAGGACCCTCAGCTGGTGTGCTTTAGGTCTCTGGGCCCGCTCAGATCTCTTCACCTAATATCCTCATTATCTGCAGAGTAGTTAAGTGCATCACTGCCCTTTGGCAGATTGAGTCCAGGGGAGAATGGGGGTACTTGGGCCTTGCTCAAATCTTGCTGCAATTTGATATTTCACGCCGGAGACTCAGGGTGAGATGGTGGTTTCTGCAGTGGTGGGGAGCAGAGGCCGGAGAGGGTGGAAGAGGCCGGGCAGATGGACCAGGAGCAGCTCGGGAAGCGTGGTCCTGTGAGCTTTGCATGTAAATTAAAAAGTATGGAGGAATAAACGCCTCTGATGGTTACAGCAAAGCATTTGATTAGAGGTGGGAACATGGCCACCTGCTGTATGTTGAAGGAGCTGAGTCCTCCGAAGCCAGGGGAGGAGCAGCACGTACCCGAGTGCGGTGCTTGGTGAGGAGCTGCATTTTCTGATGGGTTGAATAGCTTCACAGCTACACACCAGGGCTTTTGATTGTCTGGTGACACCTTGGACTTCTTCTCCCAGCAACAAAAAATTCCATGAAAAAAATAAATAAACTGGAACTATCTGTGTAAAGCACATTGTTCCCTCATTTGTGCATTCAGAAATTCTTCTGGTGGTGAGGCTGAAGATGATGAATTCATATTTATCAGAAGTGTGGCAATTTTTACAGTTGATTACCTAATTCTTATTATTGTAATACATACTCCCATGCCCAAAGGGATTCTTATTAAGAGCTGGAATACGAATAAAATATATAGTTAATTTAACAGGAATGCCACTAGAGCTGAGATGCTGAAGGTTGTTTTTCTTAAAGATCACTACAATTTGACACAACAGTGTTTACACAGTATAGAAGTGTAGGCAGAGGGTCCAAGAATTAATGAACAACCACCTCAATACTTGGCAAGAGGTGTCCATCTATTTTTCAAGGAAGGGAAGAGTAAAAGAATAGAAATAATTTGAATTACCAGAGCTAATCCACATTAATCCTTTACACATGGCAGAATACAGGAGGATGAATCATCTGCTCTGAGGAAGAGCAGTGGCTCCATTTAAGGTTCATTTCATCCCAGACAGTCTCAGATTAAGGTTAGGCTACAAATCAAGGGGAAAACTGCCATCCCAAGTTTGCATGTGGAAGATTTCTATTAATTCAATAAACATAAATTGTATGAAGCTGTGCATTTGTCTCCAGTCACTCTGGGCTCTGCTCAATACATGTAGCAATTTTAAAACCCTGAAACTCCAGAGCAAAGGAAGGTGAAAATTCACAATATTAATGGTCGCCTCAGTTCTGGCTCAGCCCTCAGCCGCGGCGCCGGGGGCAGGTACACAACCAGGGCTGGGTGCTTCCAGGGGGGAACCTCAGCAGCAAGAAAAACAGGAAAGTGCTGGTGATTCATGAATCACACAAAACTCATACCATGATTCAGCTTAATGGTACTCATTTGCATGAAACTGCACCATAGCATCGCTGCTGGGATGCTGCTGAATCGCCAGCTCCAGCTCTGCAATACCACCATCTTCGGATGAAGCTGGAAAACCTGCTGTTTTCCTTTTTCTCTCCTTAAAAATAAATGAGGATCTAGCTAGGGCTTAGTTTTGAGCATCAAAATGTGATGGCTTTGGTCCCCTCATGGCAGTTTTTTGATGTGTGATTGCGTGGGTGCGTTGGGTTCCCCCCTTCTACTCGTGGGAAAGGCCAACCTGCACACCCAAAAAAAGGCCAACCTGTGCACCCAACCTTCCACCCAACAGAGGAAGAGAAACCTCATCAAACATGCCGTTGTGGGCCTCCACAAGTGCTCAAAATTGCTCAACTTCTTGTTTCTTTTGTTTGTCTTTTTAGTTTACACAAGTACAATTGACTGGTTATTTTTTTTCTCCAGAATTACCCCATTTTCCTATTTTCCCCAAGTCCTTTTTCTTTTCTCCTCTGCAGCCAAACACAGAAGATGGGACCAAGCCCTGGTGCAGCTGATGATGGACACCTCACGCTTAGGAAAACACCAGGAAAAGAGGAGCGAGACACTTCACCCGCCGAATGTTATGGCTTCGCTAAAATCATGTAGTCTAGACCCAAACTGGGAAACATCAGGAGGCTCTTGCAGGATCACCTCCTACTTTGTTCCAATGTTAATCAGCCACAAAGTTAAAAAAAACCCTCATCTTTTTTCCTGCCAACTTTGAATGTGTTGGCTTCAGCTTCTCATTTTGGATTCTTGCATCGTCTGGAGTCCTTCGGCAGCCTATGATTTTTTATCTTTTATCTTTCCCTCCTGGTGGAAGCAAACATGGAGATGAAGATATCTTTGGATTTTTTTTTTTCCCAATAACTATACATAGATGTATACTTCTCTCAGCCAGAAATTTTCCTCATCCCACCATCACACTCCTGGCTTCTCTTTACACCATATCAAGATTTTAGTTTCAGAGAGGGGACTTCAGGCTCTGTACAATATTCTGGTATCTGTGCCATAGATAGAGCTAAAATTACTTATTTACTGCTCCTCTGCCTCTCTTGTCTAAGACCATACTCCTGGCATTTCTGAGGATGCATCATTGTAAGGGCTCACAGTAAGGTATTTACCTGCTGTATTCCCAAAACTTTTCAGGAAGCACTCAGTAGTGGAGCAGTCTCTTGTTGGGTTTATAAAACACATTTTTTTTTCCTCAGTCAGCCCATATTGTCAATATTCCTGGTTATTCTTAATTACCACCTTGGCCCCACTTGACCAATTTTTGTGTTACCCACAGATGTCAGTTTTTTATACGAAAAGGAGATGACTAGTCTCTGGAGAAAAAAAACAAACACATTCAGAGAATTTTCTTCCTTAACTATCACTTTTTCCATTATATCAGCTCAGACAGTTCTTAATCCATGTGCTCTCTTGATATTACATAGCACAGTTTCACTTTGTCTTTCTTTTAATCATAATATTGTGTGTTACTAAGTGCCCCACCAAAGTCCACCTGTTACCTACATGCAATTACTCGTACCAATGGAAACTTAAAATCTCGCCAAAAGAAGAAATCAAGCTCACTCAGCAAGACCTACTTTCCAAGAGGGAAAGTAAAACTTTTATTGAAACAAAAGGAGAATTTCAGTGGGAGGAAATAACCACCTCTGCTGAAGTCCAGCCAGGCTGGAAAAGAAAAAAAATCTCTGAAATGATAAGTGTGTGATGAGGAATGAGACAGGAAAATATAGCTTTTTTTCCCTGGCTTGGCAATTTTTCTAACGTGGAGAGCGCAAAGCACAGATCTGGCACTAAAACGGAGATGGAAAATAAGTGAAAAGTACATTCATGCCCACTCCGAATCCGCACGGATCGACCAGCAGAGATGGAAACGAGGGCCGTTGCGCGTTCCTTACCTCGCCACTCTTCCACGCAGGTCTCCGAGACCCTGGATGTATTTATGGTCCAGGCTTCGAACAGCAAAATTAGTTTCTACTGCAGCACCATCCCTTGTTCTAATTTGCCTCTCCAAAACCTGTAAATTCAAGACCATTACCACACTTTGGGTTCTCTGTTTTGTTTTGTTTTTTCATTTCAAAATGGAGCGCAAGGCAGCAGTTAAAGCAGCGGGTCTAAAAGCTTGTTCTTCTTTCTTGAACAAAGTAATGGTATATTTTTCTTTCAAAAATCAATATCTGCATAAATGATATGCCATTTTCTCCTTGAAATGTGCTTTATGTTGAGAAGTCTAGCAAGCAAAAAGTAGAAAATGGAAAAATTGGGAAATTAGTTTTATTGTGTCCCTCAAATATCCGCCGTACACTGCAACTCATAATAAATAACACTTTTCTTTTTAACTCAGGCTCCTTTTCACTGGGTGTTTCTAGGAGGGAGGAGAGTTTTGCCACAGCCTGGGGGGCTTGCAGCCAAGCTTTGCAGGGAGGACCAGGCAGAGCAGAGGAGGGCACAGGATCTCTGCCCCAAGCACAGTCTGCCCACGCCTCAAAACACAGAATCATGGAATTGCAGAATTGTCCAGGTCGGAAAGGACCTTTCAAATCATGGAGTCCAACCATCAACCCAACACTGACAAAACCCACCACTAACCCATGTCCCTCAGCACCACGTCTGCCCGGCTTTGAAATCCCTCCAGGGATGGTGACTCCACCACTGCCCTGGGCAGCCTCTTCCAAGGCTTCACAACCCTTTCAGTGTGGAAATTGTTCCAAACATCCATCCTAAACCTCCCCTGGAGCAACTTGAGGCCGTTTCCTCTTGTCCCATCACCTGTTCCTTGGGAGAAGAGACCGACCCCCATCTCTCTACACCCTCCTTTCAGGGAGTTGGAGAGAGCGAGAAGGTCTCCCCTCAGCCTCCTCTTCTCCAGGCTGAACACCCCCAGCTCCCTCAGCCTCTCCTCACAAGACTTGTGCTCCAGACCCCTCACCAGCTCTGTTGCCCTTCTCTGGACCCGCTCCAGCCCCTCAAGGTCCCTCCTGTTGTGAGGGCCCCAAAACTGGACACAGCATTCGAGGTGGGGCCTCACCAATACTGAGGGACCATCATTTCCCTGGTCGTGCTCACCACACTCTGCCAATGCTGTTGTCCAGGCCAATGCACTTCACTCAGTGTGTGTAGAAAAACATGTCCTTATCATGGTTTTGGCTCCACTGAAGGCATGGACCTGCTGTTAAAGGACATCACAGATACACCCACCCAGCCCTGAACATGGGTGTGGGTCACTGAATCTCAGAATGACATGGGTTTGCAAGGGACCTCTGGAGATCATCTAGTCCAGCCCCCTGCCAGAGCAGGCCTGCCCAGAGCAGGTCCCACAGGAACGTGTCCAGGTGGGTTTGAATGTCTCCAGAGAAGGAGACTCCACCACCTCCCTGGGCAGCCTCTGCCAGGGCTCTGCCACCCTCACAGGAAAGAAGTTCCTCCTCATGTTTAGGATCCTCACTGTAAGCATCCTTATGCCTTGTGTTACCCTCATTCCTCATCACGTGGCCTGATTTCTCACTCATTGCACAGTATTAGAAGTCTGATCTGAAGATGGAAGGAGTAACTGCCCTGCAGGCTCTTCTGAAGCAGCTCCTCCTGATGGCATCCGAACATGTCACAAACGTTCATTTTAGGAAGCCCTTCTGCTGCTGCTGTGACCTTTCACAGACGGGGAGCGGAGGGGGAGAATCACATCTAAAACCCCCAGATTTTACTTCTCAGGTTGAAAGGAGGGGCCTGGGGCTGATATTTCAGTGTAATTCAGCCCGGCACATCACTTCCGCTGCTCAGAGCACAGCTTTTACCCTTTTTTTTACGCAAATATCAGGTTCATGCAGAAATAGAGGGGCTTTTATTGACTTTTTATTTGAAATTATTCACACTGAGTGAATTTTTTTAAAAATAAATTGATAGGAAGGGACAAATAGGAAGGAAAATTTCAACTGCAAATGCTTGAAGTTTGGTGAGGTTGCTGTGGAGAGGTTTCCCTGTGCTGGATGCAGTGTGGGACCCTCTTCCCCTACAGACAGAGCCGGGGCAACCATTTGCCAGGGGGCTGCCAGCCAGGAAGGGGCAGTGGCCAGTGGGCAGCCACAGCTTCTCGGGGCAACCTGGGCCAGGCTCTCACCACCCTCACACCAAACAAGTTCTTCCCCACAGCTCAGCTCCATCTCCCCTCTTGCAGGGTCAAACCCTTCCCCCTCCTCCTAGGGCTCCCCTCCCTCATCCAGAGTCCCTCCCCATCTCTCCTGGAGCCCCTTGAGGGACTGGAAGGGGCTCTGAGGTCTCCCTGGAGCCTTCTCTTCTCCAGGCTGAACCCCCCAACTCTCTCAGCCTGTCCCCCCAGCAGAGGGTCTCCAGCCCTCCCAGCATCTCTGTGGCCTCCTCTGGCCCCGCTCTAACAGCTCCATGTCCTTCTTCCTGCTTTGGGGAAGATTTGGAGTATGAGTGAGTCACATTTCCTGGCAGACTCCTCTATTATTTGGGGTTTTTTTCCCAATTCTTGAGAAATCAACTGCTGCTCAACCACTCTGCTGCATGCTAGAAGCAAGGTCTCCAAACCTCCACTAATTGTGTAGTGGCTTTGATTGACATGACTCGCTCTGCTGTTTTCGGTGCTGTCTGTCGGTCTCTGCCCTTGTCAAACCCTCATGGCCAAATACACAAAGCAAACACCCACCTGAGATTAGGACCTGAAGAAGAGTAATTTTCAAGCAAGGGAGAAGATGAGATTTAGATGCTGATAGCATCTCTGGCATTTTCCTAGCAAAACAGTCCTGCACATACTTGACCTGGATACGGTTATGGCAGTTGGATGATCTAAAAGAAGTCATTTTTATAGCATTGCTTATCACCATAGGATCAAAATCTTGAAAACAAAATCAGTATGAAGTGAGTGCAGACCCTGGTTTTAATTCAGGTTAATTTCAGGTGAAACACAATTGTACACTTCATAAGACAAATGTAAAGAAGATAAAAAATATTTCTCCAACTACAGGATAAATAAAATATGTTGTGAATTTAGTGGCATTTATAAGACATTTAACACTTCAAAGGACAAAAAAAATCTCTGTAGAAGTTTATTTCAGGATCTTTTTGTATTTTAGATCTCTGCCCCAGAAAAAGTGCTGGCAAATTTCACATATAAATTTGACAAGTAACGGCAATAATCAGAAGTTTTCAGGCTGAAAAAGGGCATCCCACGCATTTCCAGCACAGAACCACCGGTCAGTTTAAATAAAACCTGAGCCTAAACCTTCTTTCCAGTTTGAACTGAGCTTTGTGGCAGGTTTCAGCAGTATTTGATTGTTTGCACGCAGAAGTTTACACAAAGTAGTAGAACCTCTGCGTCAGGAAAACTAAGAAGGTAACCCAAGCTTGAGTCTTGACGTTATATGTTAGATTAAAATACAGCTTGCTCCTGATTTCCCTCAAGCTCAATCATCTCTCACACTAAAACGAAACTGAAAGCAAATAGAATCCAAAACACCACCAAAAGTCACTAATCTGCTTTTATATCATTTGTTTTCCTTTTTTAAAAAAAATAAATAATTTACCTCATCCCCTCCCTTCTGCTTTCACATGTGCCCCATATAAGAAAAATTGGAATTTAACTAAAATGGTCATTTTGAGTACTTTTCTGCTCCTGGAACCAATGTTACTGCTGAATGTACCGCAGGCTAGAGCCCCACCACAAAAGCAGGGAGATGCTCCTTGGCATGCATTACCTCAATGTCCTGGCTGAGCTTCTTAACGATGCTGGTGATGGCCTGGATGTGGTTTTCCAGCAGCCGCCGGGCAGCAGTCTCCCCGTGCTTATAACCATTGTTTCCATGGAGGTAGGAGGCGATGTCGTCTTTGATTCGGAAAGCCTGGTGAAGGAGGAAAGCCGTGGTCCTCTCCTGGCTGGTCAACCGCTCTTCCAGCAGGTGAGCCCTGTCTCTGGGGTGAGGAGGAGGAGAAGGGTCTCTCCTGTGAACACCAAAAACCCTGGCGTTACACCAGCCATGGCAAGCAAGGCAAGCGATGCAACTGTTGGTGGTCTCCTGCCCACAGCAGGACCATTCTCAAAGCTGTCCAGGTTGTCTGTGGTGCCAGGGGCTTTGATGCTCCCACACATTGGTTATGAATCCCTGCAGTACCACAAGGAATAACAACCCCTCCACATAGGGCTAACGTTTGGGCATTGACCCTTTTAATGGCCTTGTAGATGTAAATAGTGTATTTTCAGCTGTTAGGTGAAACCCATAGAATCACAGGATGGTTTGGGTGGGAAGGGACCTTCAAGCCCCCCCAGTGCCACCCCCTGCCCTGGGCAGGGACACCTCCCACCACACCAGGCTGCTCCAAGCCCCCTCCAACCTGCCCTTGAACCCCTCCAGGGATGGGGCAGCCACAGCTTCTCGGGGCAACCTGGGCCAGGCTCTCACCACCCTCACACCAAACAAGTTCTTCCCCACAGCTCAGCTCCATCTCCCCTCTTGCAGGGTCAAACCCTTCCCCCTCCTCCTGGGGCTCTCCTCCCTCATCAAGAGTCCCTCCCTATAGCTTAAGTGCCATATATAGCTTAAGGACCATAAGCTTAAGACCCATATAGCTTAAGGACATGGGTTTATTTTTCAGAGGTTTCAAGGTACTTCTATAATATATCGCCATTGCAATCCTCATTTTAGCCTCTGCCTATTTCATTTAAAATAAAGGCAAAACCAAACACACCCCGTCACCACCTTTGGGGACATCCTGGTGGGTATGGTGTTGCTCGTGCAGAGCATCCCAAGGAACACGCACGAGCTGAGAGGGGGCAGCAGGAGAGCTCCTGCCAAATGCAGCAATGCTTGGGTTTGCTTTTCCTTTGTATTATTTACACCTACCCACTGGAGAAAAAGCCTGAAACCTGAATGGTTTTCTTACAGCTCCCCATCTGCCTGCTGAAACCCAGGGGAGTGAGCCAGGGGCTCAGATACGCCCAGTGAAATGGGGGGTAAATATAGAAGATGGGGAGGATGTTGGAGGGTCTGAAGCTGGCTGGTACAGAGTGAAGCTCAATTTAGCTTGGCACAATCTGGAGTTTGAGGGAAACTAGAGACACCAGTTACTTTTTTTCTGTAAAAAGCCAGAGAGAGACTTAATTACTGCAGAAAGTTGGGCTTGCATATTATCCAGAAAATGAAGTGTGTTTTATGTCTGAGTTTAACCTGAATGGCATATTTTTTATGCTCTCAGTGCTATATGAAGTACCCTTTCATCACGCAGCCTAGCTAAACCCTGTAGCTTAATGATGAAGAAAAATACCCAGTTAGTCATTTGGGGAAGAAGTCACACACGTTTTTTTCCTTGATCTCTGCTTTTAAACTGCTATAAATAAAAGTTCTGATGTAAAGATAATTTTTAATAAAGAAAGGAGGAGAGAAGAGAGTTCAACAACCCTACTCGATCAATACACAAAATGCAGAGATGACAGTTTGATGACTGAAGTACGCCTAAGGATACTCTGCCGCAGATTTTACAGCCATATGGGCTGCAAGGATGTTCTGCAGCTGCCTGATGTCTGCCTGTACCAGCAGCTACTTCACATTTGTCTGCGCAATTAAGGTCTTAAAATAAGCATGACCTTCGGCAGCCATGACATACGAACAAATCTGAACACTTAAGTTCAGTCTCTTCTTGGTAAAAGCTCTAAACAAAAAGATAACAAAAGACAGGCTGAGAGAGTTGGGGGGTTCAGCCTGGAGAAGAGAAGGCTCCAGAGAGACCTCAGAGCCCCTTCCAGTCCCTCAAGGGGCTCCAGGGAAGATGGGGAGGGACTCTGGATGAGGGAGGGGAGCCCTAGGAGGAGGGGGAAGGGTTTGACCCTGCAAGAGGGGAGATGGAGCTGAGCTGTGGGGAAGAACTTGTTTGGTGTGAGGGTGGTGAGAGCCTGGCCCAGGTTGCCCCGAGAAGCTGTGGCTGCCCCATCCCTGGAGGGGTTGAAGGGCAGGTTGGAGGGGGCTTGGAGCAGCCTGGTGTGGTGGGAGGTGTCCCTGCCCAGGGCAGGGGGTGGCACTGGGGGGGCTTGAAGGTCCCTTCCCACCCAAACCATCCTGTGATTCTATGACTTCTGAGGCCTTTCATGGGTGGACACCCCCACCATCTGGCCAGACCCCAAGCAAGCTGTCATCAGCTTGGAGCGCATCTCTAAATGTGAACGTCTGGGAGAAGGGGAGATGGCTACCTCGTGTCATCTTCCATAAATATCTGCCTCCTCTTATGAGTCTGGGACCATCACCACCTTCTACCCTCTGCCACTGTGTGTCAGTTCAAAGGCTTGTATGCACAGTCAGGGCAATAAAACAGCCCCCGTTTTCTGTGGCACCGGGACAGTTACCAACAATTTAGATCCATCATTTGTAGAAATTAACTTCAGTTTGAGCTTTGATTTTGTTTGGCTTTAATAGAACTAACATGGATTCAGGAGGTCCAAGCCACTTTGATTTATTAATGACCTCCTTCAAAAGAGTGAGTGTGTGCAATAAGCTAAGCTTGCAATCTACTGCTCTGAACACATCAATTATTATTATCAGTCATAATTACTATTATCAGTCATAATCTCCTCTGAGTGGAGAAGCCAAGGTTTTCAGATTCCAAAGATTTCATACCCTGAGAGTACTTTGCACCAGTTTCTCCTCCCATGTCAGGATGCTTTCTGCAGGCAGAGCCTTCTCCTGTGGCTCTGGGCCAAGGCAAATGAGATGCTCCATTCTCCAGCTGAAGTGCTAAAGCATCCACGCTAATGGCCTTAAGTATCCAGGTATTACCAGCAGAGATACTGCTGGAAAACGAAGGAAGCTAATGGAATAAGAGCTCCCTACTGATGGATAAGCTGCAGTGTCTGCTCCCATGAGAGTGAGGTGAAGAGAGCCAGGAGGAACTGGCTGTATCAGAAGACATCCCAAACCCTGAGCTCAGCTGCTCCTGGAGTGTTCAAGAGAAAGGACAGAATCATAGAATCACAGAATGGTTTGGGTGGGAAGGGACCTTCAAGCCCCCCCAGTGCCACCCCCTGCCCTGGGCAGGGACACCTCCCACCACACCAGGCTGCTCCAAGCCCCCTCCAACCTGCCCTTGAACCCCTCCAGGGATGGGGCAGCCACAGCTTCTCGGGGCAACCTGGGCCAGGCTCTCACCACCCTCACACCAAACAAGTTCTTCCCCACAGCTCAGCTCCATCTCCCCTCTTTCAGGGTCAAACCCTTCCCCCTCCTCCCATCAAGAGTCCTTCCCCTTCAGAGTCAAGTAGAGTCAAGCAAGAGGAAAACCAAATAGGGAAGCTGGATCAGATCTACAGTCTGGGTCTGAAGACTGAGGCTAACAGAGATGGTGGGAGATGGATGGAGGTTGGAAGAGGAGAGCTGAGCGGTGGGTGTAGGCCATCTGGGTCATACCGCTCTCATTTTATCACGTAGGAAAAAATGAGAGAAATGCCTTTGTATGACAGCCCCAGCCTTGCTTCTGCCCTTGACAAGTGTCGCTGGAGATGTACAGAGGAATCTGCTGGTCCCAGTGCAGCTGACTGGTGTATTCACATCAATTTTTTGGAAATATCTTCAGGAGAGGGAAAACCTGGGCTTGCCACAGGCCGTTGGAGACCACGCTTTAACTTCTTGTATTCGACAGAGCCACATTCAAAATGTCATTCTGTGAACAGAGTGCTGTTCCCAAAGTCTGCGCTTTTACAGTACTTCACCAAAATCTTCCCTCTTCCCTGTTTCCCTTGGCCTTTCCCACCCCTCCAGATGGGATGTCCTCAGTTCCCTGTGGTGACCCTGAGACCTCCACTCCCTCCCAGCCCACAAATCTGCTCCACCAGCCCAGGGGCAGCACACCTGGGGTAGCCACAAGCCATGGTTGGACTTCGGTCAATAAAATGAAATAAAATTAAATAAATGACCCTCACTTCACACTGAAGATCAGGAGGGACACTGCAGCTCTACATGGCTGCCCGTTCTCTTAAAACTTGCAGGAAACTTGCAGTTTGTTTCAGATCTCTGAGCACTATGCCTCTGTCAGATCTATCTGAAACACCAAAGGAATTAAAAAATTGTTAACGGCAGAGCAACTTCACTTTCCTTAAAAGTAGACCAAGAGCAATGCAGGGACACTTGCAGGGAGCCATTGCACATAAGGAGAAGAGAAGTTTCAAAATGGGGCAAATGCTTCTGGATGCTGTATTTCCTGGATTCTGTTTATTTTTGTTACTACTGCAAGTGCTTTAATTAAAAGATAAAGAGGGGTATTTTCCTCATAGCAAATGACTTCATTGTTCTGCCATGAGACTATGACCTTTCTGGTGGCACAGAAAGAAAAAGACTTTTCTGGTGGAACAACTGTACTTTCAACTTTAGGAAACCAAGTTTAAGTCAGTGGCCTGCAGGGTTAAAGAAACTGCAAAAAAATATAAAAAAAAATCAGAGAAGGAACATTTATAAATGTGACATCAACCACAGTTAATCAGTTTGCTGTTACTTAAAGTTGTTCCCTCAATTCTATGAAAAAAAAAAAAAAGAAAAAAAAGAGAAAAAAAAGGAGTAAGCTACTGCAGTGGCATCTCATGGTCATGAGTAATTGACGTGGCCCTTCAACTCACATGAACCTTGAACATTCTTGGCAGATGCAAATCCATCCTCATTTCTCTGCTTATTCAGCAGAGAGCAGGTAAGGATTAAGGAGAAGCCGGGCTTTTTCTGGTCAAGTTGCTGATAGGGGTGTAGGAGAAAATACTTCAAGACCTAAACTTTTTGAGCTTCGTTCCAGCATTCTGCTGCCAGCCCTGACACGGGGCCTTTCTCACCAGCGTGTCCCTCCCTGGCCACATACCATCCCTACATGATGCTAATGCCAAAAATACATCCTGCACTGCACAAGTTCTCACTGATTAAGGGACAGGACACAGAAAGCAGAGATATTCCTCAGAACTGAAAAACAGCTCCTGTCCAACCCGAGTTGTTGCACGACTCAGTCAATTCATATATTGCAGAAATAATTTACTTTTTCTTTGGTTTTTGGACATCCATATCCAAGGAAGAACTTGTATAAGGACTGAGGGGCAGCTTGCCAGCGTCCTGAGATTTTTCACCTGCTGGGGTAGAGCAGTTTGCCCTTTTGATTTAGGTCACACTGCCCTCCCTGCAGTGTCCCAATCACCCCTTCTTCTTCAAACTTGCAGGTATCATCAGCAAGTTCGCTGAAGATACCAAACTAGGAGGGCGGGCTGGGTGACATGCCAGAGGACTGTGCTGTCATCCAGCATGACCTGGACAGGCTGGAGAGCTGGGCAGAGAAGAACCTCATGAGGTTCAATAAAGGCAAGTGTAGGGTCCTGCACCTGGGGAGGAAGAACCCCAGGCACCAATATAGGTTAGAGGTGGACCTGCTGGAAAGCACTTCTGAAGAGAAGGATCTGGGGGTCCTGGTGGAGAGTAAACTCTCCAGGAGCCAGCAATGTGCCCTTGTGGCCAAGAGGCCAATGGCATCCTGGGCCACATAGGGCAGAGTGTGGCCAGGAGGTGGAGGGAGGTCATTCTCCCCCTCTGCTCTGCGCTGGGGAGGCCACAACTGGAATCCTGTGTCCAGTTCTGGGCTCCCCAGTTCCAGAGAGACAGGGAACTGCTGGAGAGAGTCCAGCGTAGGGCAACAGAGGCGATGGAGGGATTGGAGCATCTCCCTGATGAGGAAAGGCTGAGAGAGCTGGGGCACTTTAGTCTGGAGAAGAAAAGGCAGAGACTTAATGCGGACAAGTCTCTAAAGGATGGGTTCGAGGAGGATGGAGCCGGACTCTTTTCAGTGGTTCCCAGTGACAGGACGAGGGGCAACGGGCACAAGCTGGACCATGGGAAGTTCCACTCCAATCTGAGGAAGAACTTGTTTGGGGTGAGGGTGGCAGAGCCCTGGCAGAGGCTGCCCAGGGAGGGTGTGGAGTCCCCTTCTCTGGAGATCTTCAAGCCCCACCTGGATGCTCCTGAGTGATGTGCTCTGGGCAGCCCTGCTTTGGCAGGGGAGTTGGACTGGATGATCTCTAGAGGTCCCTTCCAACTCTGACAGTTCCATGATTCTCCATTATAACCCAGCTGTGGATATTTTCTGTCTGAGAACCAGGGCCCATCCCTGCTGTGCAGAAGCTCCGTTAAGAAATCCCTGGGCTGGTTTTAAGAGCCATCAGAAACACGCAGTAAATCTGGCCACACAGAATGGTTTCACCGCAGCTATTTCAACAGAAATCTTGAAAAAGCCTTCCAAACCTTGCAGAAATTTTCTGCATAACAGTATAAATTATGTGCAGCTGCTGTTGCACAACAGTGATCTCTATTTACCTCTTAGCTCATTTAATAAAAACATTTCCCATACTTCAGCATGGGAAAAAATCTCTGTGCAAAAAAAAAGTAATGTTCAGGGTTGGCCCTGTATCATCTCATATCTGTTTTTCCCTACTCACAGAGATTGCTCACAGCACCTTCCCTGCTTGAAGTGGCTCCAGACACGGCCCAGAGCGAGGGACTCAGCAAGCTGTGGAACTCGACAACTCTGATGCAGGTGGCTTAAAATGTCACGTTTTGGTCAATAAATGAACAAACAAAAAGTGTCAGCATTTTAGGAAGAACTTTTATTAGCTTATTCTCCCAGCTAGTGTCAGCATGTCAGAACTTTTATTAGCTTATTCTCCCAGCTAGTGGAACCAGCAGGTCAAACATTTGAGATGTGAACTTGAGACAGTATGACTCCTGAAGAAGAAGGACGGACTTGTGAGCCTGTAACTTCACAAGCCGAGGTGGCCAAGGGACTGAGCATCAGAAGAAGCTCTCAGCATCACTATGGGGCAGGAGGTCCAGCAGCACTCAGCAAGGGCTCCCAGATGCTCCAGCAGCACCCAGCAAGGGCACCCTGGAGCTCTAGCCCTGCCCAGCAAGGGCACCCATCACCCCTCGGCAGGACACAGGTCAGACTTGGGCTTGTGGTAATTCCAGTGTGGAGCCAGTGCCGTGATTTCATGTTCCTTGGTCGTTGCGATGCTTCTGACAGAAAAGCAAGTACAGTGTCTCTGCTGCACACATATTAAAGTAGATATGATGACCCATGAGAAGGGAGGTAGAAGGCAAATTGCTACATCAACAGCCATGCATGGCTCTAGCAACTCAAATACCAATGTGCGTAAGAGCGTGCAGAGACACAAGCCCACCCAGGAGCTCAACATTCTGAAAGTTCATGATGTTCATTGACCATCTATGAAACGCTCCTGAACTGGAGGTCAGTGGTTAGTGAGTGGCATGAGAAGCCAGGATCTTCACACGTCCTACAAAATGGAAGCTGTTTGGAGCCAATCCTTTCGTGGAGGCAGGGGTCAAGGAAATGATGGAGATCTTATTTCAGAAAAATATCTCCAGCCAGCACCAGCAGAGAGCAGAGCAGAGCTTGGGGCAGACCAGGATGGGAGGTTCGGAAAGGGCAGTGCAGACACCAGTTCATCATGGGGACTGAAATCAATTTTATGGGATGAGGAAACCACAACGGAGCAGAAGAGCTCCTGTTGCGTGAACCACCACGTGTTGCTCTGGAAGAGCCTCAGGCGTCCTGAGGAAGTACATTACCAGACTGCAGAGGTTCATAATACCTCAGCATGAATCACTTGGGCTCTTAATTAGAGTCTTCATCCCCGTTGTAGAAAGGATGCTGCAGGAATCAGCTCACTGAATCAGGGGCTCCTCTAGACGGAGCAGCACATTTCATACCCACAGGGTGATAACGGAGGTTCCCCTGGAAGGACGGTGGCTTGGGAATGGACAAACTCTGCGAGATGGTGAGTTGAATGTGTTTGCATTGTTCTAGAAGTCACCTGCTGAATAAAGCGATCGGTGATGTGACTCATCTCTTGGTGTCTAGATAAATACGGGTGTCAATAGTGATGTCTGTCTGAGAATACTGAACTTAAGGTCACTCTTCTAAAATTATTAGCTACGAACAAGTCAAGGAAAATGTCGTCAAGTAGTGTGTTTTTTATTTAAGATATTTAATATTTTTATATATATATTTAATGCATTTTTTTATGTATAAACCCCGTGAATTATTAGCTGATTTTTATTTATGTATTACAGAGCACTTACCTCACTTCTGCTGCTCATCAAATAAATCATTATGAAGGCTGCTGCATGAAGAGGCATGAGACTATAAAGTAGGCACAAAATTGCATAGCTGTTGCATAGAGACTCTCTTAAATAATCAACACACAACAAAGATGCATGAAACTCCTCATAAAATAAAAAATACAGCAAAGTGACATGTAATGCAGTGCTGTAAGTGCAGCACGGTGCACACCCGGCTGCACTGATGGCTTTTCCTCTCCTTGGGCTGTAATGTGGATGGATGGGTTGGACCAGCAGCGGAGCGAAGGTCTGACCTCCTCCATCCCACCCCACAAGGTACCACAAGGCTCCTGGGGGCTTCTGGCCACCATGGAGTAACGAGGATGGGGATTTTGGGGGTCTTTGGGGTGTTTCTCCAGGATGTTTCTCAGGCAGGCTCCCGGGGGCTTCTGGCCACCCTGGAGTAATGAGGGTGGGGATTTTGGGGTCGTTGGGGTGTTTCTCCAGGATGTTTCTCAGGCAGCAGCAGAGCAGAGTCTGGAGAAAGGGCTGTGGGCGCTGGGCGGGCGACCCGGGGTGGGGGTGAGCAGAAAGTATTTGATGAGTTTAACCCCAGGCGTGTTCCTTGCTAAAACCAATAACAAATGTTTCGCAGCACATACACAATAACAATTTGTCGGCGCTGCCTAATTGCTTCTGTCATGAATTAAATAATCCTGTTGCTCCTGTTTGCAATTCCTTGATAACATCTGCCGAACAGGAGGTTTCTAGACAATGGTAATGACCTGAGGAGTTCAGCAAATGTCTTCCTCGGCCCGATGCTGCGCTCGGGTCTGTCTCCTGAATTGTTATCCGAACCAGGCTGAAACAGGAGATGTCTCTTTCCATACCAGATAAAACCCAGACAAGCTGGGACGCCTTGCAGAGCTGGGTTGAGAGCTGTGGAGCACAGCCAGTACGCCGAGCATGTTGAGTTATACGTGACTTATACTATACGTATATAGTATATTATGTTATACTTATATAGACTTCTGTACTCAACAGCAGGAAAAACCAGCATCAGGGAGCGTTTCCTGGGAAAACATCTCAGGCTGAGAGAGGTACCAGGGATCTCTGCCCTGAAGGTGAAATCCTTGCTCTGGAGGTGGAGGGCAGCTCCTTGGTGGGTGGCCAAAGCCCTTCCCATTGCCATCCTCACCAGGCTGCAAAGGGGAAAAATGAGAGGACTCGGTGGGGCTGGGGATGGACGCACCACGCAGGCAGCACAGACACTGTGGAGGGCTTCTTTGGGGGGACACTCAGTTTTTCCTTCTTGGCTCGTCCATTGGCCTGCCAACTTCAGCTCTCCCTGGTGTTAAAACCCCAAGGGCTGCTGTCATCCTCTGTCTGGACTTCCCATATAACATATCTCTTCAAGCAGGGGCTAACCACAGGACGCAGCCTTCATCAACTGATCTCCACCTATGTTCTGACACGGGGTTAAATCTCCACAAACGGAGCCCAAACCTGACATTTTATTGCCACGTCCACCAGGGGTGAAATTTTAACAGTAATGATATAATTGGCCCTCACATTTTTATCAACACAGCAAACCGGTCGCACATATGCCTATAATCATCTAAAAGTAGAGATATCAAATGCATGCAGAACATTTTAAAATAGAAAGTCTTTGGAGAGAAGTCAGGCTGCAACATTATACTGCTCAAGTAATACAAAACTGTGTAATTGCAGGCATTTTACCCTTTTCCCTTGGTCAGTTTCAGTCCCTATTTAGAAGGCAAAGGTAGAAAAACAATACTTGTGAGTACTTTAACTAGCCAGTTCTGCCTGTCTGAGGCTGCACAGAGGATGTTGTCTCCAAATGTTTTAACTCTGCTGTTCTAAGAAATCCCACTGCAGGCCTCGTTTGCTGTGTCACTTAATTGTGTTTGCAGAACACCACCCCACCCCCTGCCCATGAAAGTTTCGGCACTGAATGAAAAGCACTTGCAAAAAGAGACACCTTCAGCCCTCCACCCTGGCACCTTCCAGGGCTTTCCTCTTTTTTTTTTTGAGCATCCTCTGAGATGCTCTGGAGGCATCCAAGGGGAGCCAAGTCTCCCCTGTTCTGGCTGTGGGCATGCTCAGGAAACGTAGATGTGCTCAGAAAAGTCATCAGACCTTTGAAAATCTTCTCAAAATGAGGCTAGAAAAAGGCTGGGCAAAGCACAGGCTCAGAGGAGTTCTGGGCTTTTGTGCATTTAGTGTCTGGACGTGGCTGTTCCCATGCACAGGGCACCAGGAGATGCTCGTGCCATGGACCTCGGGTACCAGCCCTGCTGCCCTGAGCCCCACACTGCAGAAGGCTGGGACTCTTCAGGAGTTTTAGGTGGGCTTTCAGAGCAACTGCAAGTTGCTTTAGATAGTTCTGACAGGGTCCATGTCAACCCATACATTTGCATCAGTGTTGTCAAAAAACACACTTTCGGCCCATAAATGTGTCCAGTGACTTTAATACTGTAACAATTCCTATAGAAGTTTTATAAGAATTAGGCTGTATAATAAGCTTTTTCCTAACATTGTTACTGAGGAATCAGAACAAATAGCCATAACATACTTCTGTCTGTCCAGCTGGCATTGCTCACACTGCACCGTGAATTATAAATGCATAAATTAAGCTTGATAATACACACAGTTATGATTCTGTAAGAAAAGCAATGGTAGAATCATGCAGAATCACAGAGTGATATGGGGTTGGAAGGGACCTCTGGAAACCATCTAGACCAACCCCCTGCCAGAACAGGTCCCACAGGAACGTGTCCAGGTGGGTTTGAATGTCTCCAGAGAAGGAGACTCCACCACCTCCTTGGGCAGCCTCTGCCAGGGCTCTGCCACCCTCACAGGAAAGAAGTTCCTCCTCATGTTGAGATGGAACTTCCCATGTTCCAGTTTGTGCCCATTCCCTCTGTCCTGTCCCTGGGCACCACTGAAAAAAGACTGGCCCCGTCCTCCTGACACCCTCCCTTTCAGTATTTATAGGGGTTGATCAGATCCCCCCTCAGCCTTCTATTCTCCAAACTAAACAGACCCAAGTCCCTCAGCCTTTCCTCAGCACAGAGATGCTCCAGGCCCCTCATCATCTTTGAGGCCCTTTGCTGTACCCTCCCCAGCAGTTCCCTCTCCTTCTGGAACTGGGGGGCCCAGAACTGGGCTGTAGAGCATTTATTGAATTCAAAAATCTGAGCTGATGCTGCGCACGTAACACCTGCATAGACAACAGCAGTTTGGTATCTAAACTTCTTAATTAAAAAAAGTTTTTTAAATGACAGAGAATAACAGAGCTGCAGACAGGGGCTTCTTGTGTAAACACCACCCTAGTGCCATGACAGCTTCGAATTGTCCCCTTCAACAGGAGCACCTGAAAGCCTCAGGGAAGCCACAGGCTGTCTGCTTTACCCTGAAACCGATAGTTTCCTCTCCCTTTGTCCTTTGAAACTTCAGTTTATCTTAATCCCAGGAGCCAGATCCCCAGAAGCAATTGCCAAGGGAACAAGGGTTGAGCCCAAGCGACACCAGGTCCCTGCTCCCCCAGTAGTCACTTTGCAGGCCTGCTGGGGACACCACAGAAACAACCCACAGACATGCCTGCTGCCACCCACCCCAAAATCCCATCCCCAGAAAGCAGACAAAACACTTTAAATTAAAGTAAGACCTGGAAGGTGAGCAAAACTTGCCTCCTTAGCATGTCCCAGCAGAAGGACGCAGCCGAGCAGAGGGGCCAGTCCCCGGTTGATGGGGACTGCTGCTGCCAGGAGGTTTGTGTTTGGTCCTGTCTCCAGGAAACCCCGGTGCCTGCTCTGAGGAGGAAGTGTGCTGAGGATTAGTGGCTGTGTTTCTCTTCTGTATCCCAGCTCAATTGCCATCCTTGGGTCACGATCTCTTGTCCTCATCCAGGAGGGGGCTGAGGAGCTGCTGCTCTCCCAGCCTGGAGAGAGAGGATGGACTGTGTCCAGCTCAGGAAGGACATGGACCTGTTAGAACTGGTCTGGTGGAGGGCCACAAAATGATCAGAGGGCTGGAGCACCTCTCCTATGAAGACAGATTGAGAGTTGGAGGGGTTCAGCCTGGAGAAGAGAAGACTCTGGGGACACCTTATAACAGCCTTCCAACACCTAAAGGGGGCTACAAGAGAGATGGGGAGGGACTCTTGATCAGAGAGTGGAGCAATAGGATGAAGGGTAATAGTTTAAATTGAAAGAGAGGAGATTTAGATATAAGAAATTCTATATCGTGAGGGTGGTGAGAACCTGGCCCAGGTTGCCCCGAGAAGCTGTGGCTGCCCCATCCCTGGAGGGGTTCAAGGCCAGGTTGGAGGGGGCTTGGAGCACCCTGGTGTGGTGGGAGGTGTCCCTGCCCAGGGCAGGGGGGTCAGAACTTGTTGATCTTTAAAGTCTCTTCCAATGCTACCCATTCTATGATCCCCAGCAGCACCACAATGACTGCTTGGCCATGGTCTCTAGAGGTGTGTGGGTCTCTGTCTCCAGAGTAGACCCCTTCACCTCCATATCCAACATCTACCCAGGAAAACCCTAGTGCAGTGGGTTGCCCTTAATGTGAAATACTTGGTCACAGGTGAACAAATTAAAAGTGATTCAGGGAGCATGTTGGCACATTTGCAGATCATTTCCCTAGCACAAGTTGCACAAGACCTCACAGAAACATCTTCTGAAGACTGCTA